AAGCTAATACTGCGCTAAAAGTCATAAAATCTATGTATCATAGCGAAAAACTCATCCTAAAAATTACCATGAAATTATTTATAGAAAAGGCACAGGCGACAACTTTACAGTAGAAGGAATGTAACTGAAGCTGAGACGGAAAAATCAAGACCAGTAATGACTTTGAAATTGTTTCTTGGATTGCACTATATAAGTATCTTTGGTAGCATGATTTGCTTTTTGAGATACTTCCTAATAAATAATAAAGATAAATTCACCGGTCTCATGTTTTTCACTAAGATGGAGCGGAATAATTATATTGAATCAATAACTAGGACTTCTGCTACGAAAGTCCGTTCAATTTTTGTCGCCAGAATCCATGTTATCACTTTACAATTCGCCCGTGCATTGAATAATGCTCCCAAATATGTTTCGGTGTTCCTGCCATATACTTCAGGATTCTTGACAGAATCCAAAGAATGGTCTGTAATGTTATCGATACTGACATGGCCTCATAACTATCTCACCGCCGTAACATGGCTTTCCTGTGACATTTCTATAAATATTTTCATGGCAATTGATATTTTCACTTTGGTACCTCGACCTCATGAATTTAAGCGTAGTACTAGTTTACCAACTCGATCTCATCGTCTTACTTTTGAAATAACGACATTTAATCCCTATTCTAATAGTTTCATTTCTCGCATTTCTTGCCAGTGGAAGTCAATTCCGGCTTTTTCCTTCTCTGTTTACCTAAAAACTTAGGTAAATATGTAAATGCTTTTAATTTATCGTTATCTTCGATCTTGATTTGATTTCATTTGATTGTTTAACGGTATATCAGCTCCTTCATGGGTCATTTAACACCGGAATTTAATTTCCTGGGAGCTTTGAGGTATGTTATTCTGCTTTCGCAATTGAATACATGGTAGATGTTACTCAGCTTTTATGAATCTACATGTTTGTGTAGACATGAGGCGGTGATATGTTTGTTTTATGTTGTAATTTTGTTGAAGTTATATTTTGGAATACATTTTGATTTCAGAAATTAATTTAAGAAATTTTAGGATATTATATGGATTAATACGTTCTTTCATGTTGGTTGCTTGATTTTCTTTAGCGGAATATCAACAAATGTATGGTTTATTTAATGCGGAAATCTAAATATTTTGAATACGATTATATGGCTTCAAATAAATATATTTTGAATGCAATTCTGTGCAGATACAGATAAAAATGTATTGTTGGTCATTTTACTATAAAATTTTTATTACTGGTTATTTTCTTATATAAAAATGTATTGCTTTTAGTTATACGATAAAAATAAATTTTTATATATTCCTAGTGTTTTATTTTTCTTTGGTGTTCACTTTTATCCGTAGCTGGGACCCTAACTGATCCTACTACCCTGGATCAGAGTGGGCCTTGGAAAAACAACAATTAAGAGGTGGTTCTACGCTACTCAAGACCAACAAATCCCCGATCAGAAGCCTTGCTGCCGGATATAGTTTATCGTCATGTTCAGTAACGTTCTTCTTCCTGAATTCCGTTCATTTATTCCCCTTTTTTCCTCACTATCATTTTCCCATTTATTTTGAACCCCTTGCGTCTTAATAGCTTTATCGCCTTGCCTGGGGTGGGAATGATTGAAAATAATCTGTTGATTGGTATTAAGTCTGGATAAATCATGGGTATGTCATTTTATGTTAGTAGCATCGAATATGAACGCGATGATTAGGCTTCAATCCAATAAAATGATTAGTTTATTCATTTTTAGACTCAATCGAATTAAGATAAAATGAATCGATTTTATGGGGTTTCGGGTTTTACTCCGGACGTTCGATCTTATTCACGTTAGAGTGGGAGTGATTCTGTTTCCTCGTAGAGAGAGCGTTTTATAGATCTACCTAAATATCCACTTATCTTTTGTGTGCACATATTGTGAGGTCAGTAAGGTTCACTCCCTTGTTTATATAGTCGCGCGGAACGAAATGCATCGATGCCCAATTTTCCGCTTGGTGTTTTTGGAGATATCTCGAGGCTTCTAGGATTTTGATTTTCTGTGTTTTACATTGAATATAAAGCTTACGTTAGCAACACTTAGATTGAATCAGGTATATACTGTGGTCACCAAAGATCAAATAATTTTAGATCAAGTGCCTTGATAGAATTAAATTCGATTCGCCATGAATCGTGTACTAACTCTATATCTTCAAATAAAAAAAAAAATGATTGATTTGTTTTTTACGGATTATCAACATTTTTGCAGGTTGTTTAAAACCAGAAAATATTTTAAAATTGTATGAATCTTTTTTTACAAGTCCTACTAATTGGAGAAGAGGAGGATTACAACTCCGCTAACAGATTTACAATTCCACCCGTTTTCCATTGCACCACCAACAAAAATATCGAAGTTAAGCAATGTGGAGTCTGATCATTACCTAGATGGGTAAACGCTTGGGAATAACAAGCGCTGTAAGCTTGGATGTCCGCGGTTGTACTCGATAATGGCTCGGAATCTTTAATCGGAGAGCCGAGTTCCAATTCAATTCTAAGCCCGGCTTAGATGTGGCACAAGGCCGAAAGTATGGGGCACCCAGTGAAGATCGAACTCACTACTCAGTCGTAATTGATCTACCAAGACAAGCTTTCTAAACATTACACCACGTTGAGGCACCCTTGAATACGTTAATTCATATATGCGCATATGAAAAAAAAATGAATCTATTTCTCTCCCAACTATGGGTTAATTAGTAAGATTTGTGTCACTAAATCTTTATTATCCCAAAGATTAGAGATTCTAACATTATAAGAAATATTTTCTAGCTTTAAATATGGGTTGACAAGCCTTAAAACACGAATCAATCAAAAAAGTTTTACTGCTATGATTAACCGTTGAAGCTGGACAGGCCACCACTGACAGAGATCAAATAACTATAAATTATGAATCTTCATTCCATAAAAATATAATGTTGCTGCATACTTTTGGAAATTAGACTCAAATTTAATCTCGAAATCATATTGGCAAAGAGCAAGCTTCATTACGCTTTAGCCAATGTGTAGTGAAAGTTTTCAGAATACATTGTCAATAGATAATTCATTAATGGGGTGATTTGTCATCGTGCCAGATGAAAATAGAAAAAAGAATTGGCAGTTAATTGGATGTCATTGATTTTCTTCATGATTTCATTACTTTCGGAGTATCCAAGTCGGATTTCAACCTTTTTTTTTAGCAAAATATCCTCGTCAAATAAAATAAACATTATCTTCTTATGCACGGAAATACTTTCGGAAACTTTTGGAAAAATTTGCATAACTGAGTAGGTTTTAAGTTAAAAGGAGATTTGCTCAAATAAAATCTTTGCATTATTTATACGTCCATGCACCTCTCTCTTTCACCAATCTCTCTCTCTTTCTTTCTTTCTCTTTCTCTCTCTCTCTCTCTCTCTCTCTATATATATATATATATATATATATATATATATATATACACACACGCTCATACACCTATCTCTTTCACCAATCTCTTTCTTTCTCTTTTTCTCTAACTTCTATTTCTCTCTCTCTCTCTCTCTCTCTCTTCTATCTATCTATCTATCTATCTATCCAGCTCTGGATATATACACTGCAGATCAAACGTTTGAGGTACCCCAGGTAATTTTTGGCCCCAAAATTAGTAGAAAATTATTATACCTGGTTTAGGAAAGTGTTAGATTATTTTTTTATTAGAAATTTTATTATGAACAAATGAAAACAGCATTTTATGTTTAAAATTTGCTCTCGCAACATATCCTCCTTTCGTCTTGATTACTGCAGTACAATCCTTTGTTATTCATTGCAAACGTTTCTCAAAGTATGTTTGATAATTGATTCCATTCTTTTTTCAATGACTCCAAGAAATCTTTTACATTTTTTTTTCACGCCTCTGGTAAATTCTGCCAATACAAATTTTTTGGGTGGCTTCAAACATTTGAACTGTATTCTACATTTTTTATGTACATTAATATATGTTTATATATCTAACACCCACACTGTAATATACAGTGTGACACGCGCACAAACGTACAAGGGAGTGCAAAAGTAGGTATACAGTAATAAAAAACAAAATGTGCAGACAAAACGTGTTCTACTGATTATACAAATCGGTTCGATTCGGCATCCGTCCGTCTCGGGAGACGATGGAATTGCGCTTATTTTTTTTATTTAAATTCTAGACGATAGAGTTACATCGCCTTTGGTGACTGTGTAGTCCCATTCTGGAGCGGCAGTCTCTCAGGCACTTGGCGCAGATGAAAGTGGATGGCACGGAGACGGAGTTTGTCTTTGCTTTTCTCTTGGATCTCTATGCTGCCTGTTGATCTTCCCTCGCGGCTTCTGCAGTCCTGACGCCGTCTCTGACCGTGGCTCTCCAAAGCTGACGATTGTCAGCCGCGGCTTCCCAGGTGTTGGGGTCGATGTCGGCCAGCTTCATGTCTTGTTTGCAGACATTCCTGAAGCGGAGCTGAAGTCTTCCATTTGGGCGGGACACTCAACACAGATCTCCGTACAAGATGACTCGGACTGGTGATGCCGGCACGCTGGAGGACCTCTGTGTTAGTGACCCAGTCTTGCCACTTAATGTGCAGGAGACGTCTGAGACAGCGGAGGTGAAAGGTGTTTAACCTCTTCTCCTGACTGGCGTAAGTTGTCCAGGACTCGCTGCCGGACAGAAGAGTGCCGGGGAGGCAGGCCCGGTAGACTTATACTTTGGTGTTCTCCGTCAGCTGGCTGTTGTTCCAGAGGCGGTTGTTTACCTTGGCCATGACTGTGGCGGCTTTCCCTATCCTGTAGCTGATCTCTGTGTCCAGAGAGAGGGAGCTGGAGATGATTGACCTGAGGCAGGTGAAGGAGTCCACCACCTCGATGTGTGTACCGTTGATGGCAATGTCTGGGGAGGAGGCGGTGTCTTGTGCCAGGATGTTTGTCTTTTTGAGGCTGATGGTCAAGCCGAACTCCTTGCAGGTATGGGCCAGGCGGGTGACTTATTCTTGCGGACTGTCCTCCGTGTGGGACGTCAACGCAGCGTCGTCGGCAAACAGCATCACACGAATGAGGACCTCACGGACGTAGACGTAGAGTTTGCCGTCTGCTCTAGTGCGGGTGTAGATTCTCGCGTGCAGTCGGAGAAGGCGTACTGGAGAAGCATGGAGAAGAAGATCCCAAAGTGTGTCGGCGCGAGGACACAGCCCTGCTTTACGCCGCTGCTCACAGGGAAGGCGTCGGATGTCCCGCCATTGTAGCAGACTGTGCTGGGCATGTCCACGTGGAAGGACTTGACCATCTGGAGCAGTCTTGGCGGACATCCTGCCCTGCTCCCCAGGAGGCTGAAGAGTCCGCTTATTCTGACCAAGTCCCAAGTCGAAGGCTTTCGTTATGTCAATAAAGGCGATAAACAGTGGTTTCTGCTGCTCACGGCACTTCTCCTGCAGCTGGCGTAGCGAGAAAATCATGTCCACTGTAGATCGGCCCGCCCTGAAGCCACACTGTGACTCGGGGTACACAAGGAAGACGAACACTGCTGGATTGGCAAGACGACGCAGGCAAAGACTTTCCCGACGAGATGCTGAGAAGGGAAATGCCGCGGTAGATATTGCAGTCGCTGCGGTTCACCTTTATTCTTATAGAGGGTGACAATATTGGCATCTCGCATGTCCCGGGGGACGTGGCCCTTCTCCCAGCACTCGTGGAGATGTCGCAGCAGAACTGACTTGCCACTCTTCAGAACCACCGATGGAATCCCGTCCCTCCCAGGGGCCCTCCCCCAGGAGAGACAGCCGATGACTTTTCCGAGTTCTTCTGCAGAGGGCGGGGCATCCAACTCCTACATGACTGGGAGACTGGGCAAAGCATCCAGGGTGGTATCCGCCACCATGTTCTGGGTTGCATACAGCTCCAGGTAGTGCTCCAGCGGCTTACCCTGGTCTGTACTGACCTCTCCTGCCTTGGACTTCAGCGGAGCCGTCTTGATGAGAATGGCGCCGGTGGCGGTTTTGATGCTGGCGTACATGACTCATTCGTCTCCACTGTCGGCAGCCGTCTGGATTCTGCTGCATAGGTTCAGCCAGTAGTCGTTGGCGCAGCGGCATGCAGTCTGTTGGGTCTTGCTGCTAGCAGCTCTGAGAGCATCGCGGATACTGACGCAAGTGTTTTGCTTATAGGCCCGAAGTGTTTGTCTCTTGGCTTCAAAGGCTGGCTGCATCTCATCCCAGTGAACTTTGTACCAGTCCGCATTTCGACTGAGTTCTCTGTAACCATAGGACTGTGCCCCCGGGAGTCACGACTACTCTCACCAAGCCGCTGCTCCCGGGGGCACAGTCCTATGGTTACAGAGAACTCAGTTGAGTTCCGCCACGGAATATGTGAGCGAGCGGCGCTTAGTTGAGTCTGATTTGGAATCTCTTCGTCACCGAGGCCCATTTGGAACAGTTGGTATAGTGTTCGCTTGACAACCCAACTGTCAGGGTTCGATACTCGGTAGTGGATGCGCACTGCTGATGAGTCCCAAATATAGGACGAAACGGCCGTCCAGTGCTTCCTGCATTCTGTAGAGGTTTCTATCAGACTCGATGAATTAATTAAATATACATATACTTTTGTGAAAATTAATTGAAACAACCGCCTTAGTTTCCTTTTTTTCACCATACGGTCAGATTTAGACCCACTGGAGTGACAGGGTGTAATCGATTTCTGTTTTTCTCCTAAGATTAGGTCATTTTCAGTCGTGTGCAATAATATGAACCTATTTTAGGACTGTATAATGAAATTTGTTTGGTCTAGAAAAATATTGCATCATCCGTGATTGCATCAGATTTTCATCACTCACAGACACTCTTGTCTCGACTGTCGATTCGTTGTCCTACCAACTTTGCCTGCGATTGACGTTACTCCAAGAATGCGAACAGAAATTGTTATGCTTCACGAACACACTGGAAAGCCTTTCCAGTGAGAAAATCTCACTCGGAAACTCTTCTGATTTAAATCTAATCGAGAATCTTTCGTTAATCTGCAAGGGAAGACGTCGTGGAATGGACATATACTAACATATGCACTGGGACATATTTCATTCGAAAAATACGAAAAAAGGTAAATAATATCAGAATTATTCGTTTTGTTTCAATTAATTTGCACAAAGGTGTATATATATATATATATATATATATATATATATATATATATACGTTTGTGCCACTGTGGGTGTGCGTGTGTGTTAAAGTGACCGTGTTAGACATATGTACATATATGTATATATGAATATATATAAGCCCATTCCCCATAAAAGTTGGATGCTCTGAATTCAATGCACAATATATGTCGCCAGCCATTTTCGTGATAGTCCCGTGGAAGTAATTTAAAGTGAAGGTGTCCAGGACATTTGTCACAGCCACTTCTATCTTCAAAATGTCTTCATAAAATACCTGCGGTTCTACTTAAAATTCTGGAAGAATCAAAAGCCTCAGGGGGCAAGATCTTGGCTGTAGGGAGGATAAATGATTGTTTTGATGCTCAACACAAAATTTATTACATATCGAGCTTGCAACCACAGCATCTAGATGACTTCGGAATCTCCTGCAACTCTTTTGGATAGTCTCCTTATTTAAGTTGGTGAATAATCCATATCTTCTGCCATAATCCTTGCCTTCAGTTCATCTTTAGCGTTACAACGAGTTTTGTTGGTAACTCGCTCAACTGATTCTCACACATAATAATCAAGGCGGTTGCCGTCTGGGGAGTCAGGTGAACAGATATAAGAGGTGATGTGGTCGTAGAAATTGTCTAACAACCATTACCAGGTTCTATCGCCGGTATAGCATGGTGCAGATTCCTGTTGCCAGACATAGAGTCTTCCAGGAGCCTACCTCATCAGTTTATGTAGGTCTCCCTATTGAGTCTTGGGCACTGGGAGAAGATGAATGGAGGCATAACGTCGCCATCATTATTGATCGCACTAAATTCCATGATGTTGACTGCATATATCATCCAACACTTTTCGAATGATCTGTAGTGTCCTCAGATTGACATCCAAACACACTGAAATGTTCGTATTGGAGCTTCCGGCGTGAATGCCAAGCTGTACAGCACATCGTTTCCAAATTTCTGGCGAAGTGAATTGCGTCATGGTGCTCTTTTTCTTACAGATGGTGCCCAACTGACCCCATGGCGCTGTGCAGTCAACAAACAACGCGCATGCGAGAAATTAAAAGTATAAATGGCGTTAATTTACCCATTCACCTATATATATATATATATATATATATATATATATATATATGTGTGTGTGTGTGTGTGTATGTATGTATGTGTGTTCACACACACACACACATATATATATATATATATATATATATATATATATATATATATATATATAATTATTTATTTGATAATTATAACATAAATATGTTATAAAATCCCTACAAAAATAGCTATTTTGTTTCAACACCTCTGGTGTTTTATCAAGTGATGATGTTGAATGTAGATTGTAGAATAAAGGTTTTAAAAGGTTCAAATTAATTAACCACCCCTCGTTTGATACAGAAAATGAAAATATACGCCGTCGATTCTTCTTACAATAATGGCACCTAGTTTTTCGAACGATGAATTGGAGTAACGTCAGGATCCGTGTGAGTGCCATTCAGAGGTAGCCACGGGGACGAACACAGAGGTCACGTCTTCTGTGGTGCTCCTAGGGCTACTGAATAACCAGTTTTATGATTTTGCTTCCTGACTTCTTTGGCGGAAATTTAGTAACAGATGATGGAACATGAGTTATGGTAACCTGAAGGCGCTTAGATTTCCCAGAAATTAAGAATGAAGACAGAACGAAAGAAAGAAATGCTGAAGTACAGTCAGATCTTTTCTCCTATATGGAGTGAATGTTGGACGAATTCCTTACAGATGAAAACTGATTTTGAAGCGACCGACCCAAATAATATTTATCAATTTCTAACATTGGTGATTTTGATATAAAATAATCTGTGCGTAATTAGACCTTCGACACAAACCAAAGGGACCTCTCACTTTAAATCTGATTTCTTAGAATTTTGGTGAAATAAAATTGATTTCCACATTTCCCAAAATTTTGGAATTAGTTTTTTTTGTTTTAAATTCAATTTAAATAGTTTAAACTGAATTTAAAACAAAAAACTAATTCTAGATTTTTTTGTGTGACTTTAAACTAAATATAAATTAAAATTTATAAAATCGCTAATTTTTTTCAGGTATTTTTTTTCAGTTATAAGTTCTTGCGTCAGGCAGTAGAAAATCATATTCACTGTTTAGGGGAAATAACAAAATGGATAACATAAAATCAAATTAAGTAGAATTAACGTTGTAGTTGTACAACTGACACAGTGCCTAAGGATAATTTTTTTCAATATTTACTTCATATCAAATAAACATTTTTAAAATTAAATTTTAAAAAGTTAATAGGGTGATCGAGTTTGCTATGTAAATCCATTGTAAACTGACACCATATGGAAACCGACATATGAGAATACTATGGATGTAACATGTGAATAATAAGGAAGTTTTCAGAACAATTGAAACAACATGGCAACTTATATTTATAACCAGAGACATATAGTTCAAATTTCTTGTACATATTTGGACAAATGACCTTGAGAATTAAATACACAGGGCATACTGATTATCCTTCTAAAATCTTTTGTTTAAATGGATGGTAAAACAGGGACAAAGAGGGAAGGTAAAAGATATAAACTACATAAAAAGAAATTGTAGTCATGATTAGTCATTGAAAGGGATTGGAACTCAAAATAAGTTTCTTTTAAATTGTACTAACAATAAGGAAAAGTTCCTACAGAAACTTCCATTAACGACGGTGATGGATATAAAGACTGTTTTGTCAACTTGCTGTCTTCTAATAAATCTATTTTTTATAACCAGTAATTGCTTTCCGAAAGTGCCAAACTTCTGCAGTGAGCAAAAAACTGCGAACTCTTTAAACGATGTTTATTCCTGTACGTTGATGTGCAAGTTATTTCGCAACATTCTGAATATTTCATAGGCTTTTAAGACGACGTATTATAGTTGACTGAATACACAAGCAGTATAGAGGAAAACCTCCAAATCGAACATACTATATATATATATATATATATATATATATATATATATATATGAAGAAAAATATACTGAAAAAAACAAACAAAAATCCTAATATGCGATTATGCTGTTTTAATGTTTAATGTCAACGTCGGACGTTTCGGTCTAATAGACCATCTTCAGGACATATTCATAAAACATAATTAACATAGACCATATACAATTCAACAGGAAAAAGACGATGGACATAAAGATGGTCTATTAGACCGAAACGTCCGACGCTGAAATTAAACATTAAAACAGCATAATCGCATATTAGGATTTTTGTTTGTTTTTTTTCAGTATATTTTTTCTTTATACTGTCAGATCTATATCCATATATTTGCTTATATATATATATATATATATATATATATATATATATATATATATATATATATATATATATATATGTGTGTGTGTGTGTGTCTAAGCCAAATGCAGGTTAACTATAAGCATGACGAATTTTCTCTCAGAAATATAATGAAGAAATATACAACCCCAGTCGACCAGAAAAGGAAAATTAAATTAACTACTACAAAAAACTTAAACCAGTTAACTTTATCATCAACAATAACAATACACCTTCAAAATCCAAAAAACAGAGAACCAATATTAATTAAGACTTCAAATGACCCTCAAGGAAATGTGTTTATGATCAAACCAAATTCTTAAATGATTATATTGGTCATACCCCGACACGCCTATCTAGACGACACCCGTTGCATCTACCCAACCATAGCTCAATTAGAACTCATGGCAACACACACGGAAACCTATCAAACTCCATCCGCAATACAGTATTAGAAAATACAAGTATAATAGCATTATCCAAATGCAAAATAGAAAAAGATTTAAAGTATTGGAAGGACTAATAATAAAAAAGAAAAGCCAACAGTCAATAAAATTGACTATGAACAAGACTGATCGCGTTTGAAAAAAAACATTTCTCTAACTTTAGACACATACATAAAAACCTGAGAGA